TTTGAGGGAAATGGTGAAAGATCAGCAGCGAATGGGATATGGGTACCCATGTAACTCCATTTGATTCTTGTACGAGTTGAGGTGGCCCACTGGGTCTTTGGTTCCGTCAAAGGCCTCTATCGACGACATTCAGAATTTTTTAGGGAGAGGAAAATGTAGGATTTCAGGAGTGAGGGGTGACTCAATCTGCTGGCCTATAGTGTCCATGGTGTCGGGGGCTTTTCCCTTAACCACTTTTTCATGTTCCCCAACACTTGCTGGATCTCGCGAAGACTTTATTCCAAGAAGTGATCTGTGGCGTCAGGCGGAGGAAAGGATCTGTCGTCTTGATGAATAGGTCGAGGCCAGCTGTGGGCTTTGTCTTCTACTCGTTTGTTCAGATATCTCCTCCGATGGTTCTCTCTAGAGTGGCTATGCTCATGGAGTTATGTGACTCCGTTGGGTGGCACCTGATGGTTCTATGGAGGAACGTCGTGCTGTGCTGGTTGAGGAGGCTAATAGTGCATTGGTGGGATCTGTGGTAGGTGATGAGACTAAATCCATGTTAACAAGTCTTGATTCTGCTTTATAAGCTACATGGTGGTTCGTCGGTAGGTTTCCAACTCATTTAGTGGAGGTGAATCTACCACCGGAGGATGAACTTTGACGTTCGCCGTGAGGGTGGGGAGGTTTGTTAGTGGGTTCTGATGAACTTGGGGGTTAGCATGAGATTTACTCATATTCCGAGTAGAAACCATCAAACAAATAGAAAAGTATGAAGAAAACTTCAAGGAAACAATGAAAATCTTTCCCACATACGGCGCCAAACTGATGGTGCACGAAAATGTTGATCCAAGTCCAGAACCTTAGTCAGATGGTCCAGATAGGTGTAGAACAAATGTATGGACTAGAAATGGGTAAAATTATGATAGAAAAATAGAACACAATGTAAGTGGCTCTCCTTAGTTGAAAAACCAAGGCTACACCCACTGTAATGGAGTCTCTTGCTCCTTAGGGGATGTATGTTGCTTGAAGAGAATTAGTTCAATAGTTCCCTTGGCTTACAGCCTTTTCCATAGAATGCTTGGAGATTACAAGCTTAATAGAGTTGCAAGTAGAGCAGGTAATGGGGGAAGAAGATGTTTGTATCTACTATAGTGTAATAGTGTCATATTTATACAAGTGATCCTAATAGGGTTTCCTGCGGCTCCTTTTTCCTTTCTGTTGATTTTGTGGGTCTTTCTACTTTTGTCATGTATCGACCTCTGTCACACGACGCCACTCTACCCACGACCTCTAAACGGTTATGCGCACCAATATTCTCTGTACCAGGGAGTGCGTGTTCGTTACAAGCATCAGAAGTGGTCCCCTTGGCCTCAGGACATGTGGCGTGGCAGGAGTGCTTTAGGATAAGCATTGGACCGAGCTCCTTTATCCCAAGCTAACCTTCGGTTGAGTTGGACTAGGGTTGGACTGGAGTTCAGGTCCTCTAGTAACGTTGGGCCTTACCCTATGGGCTCGGTCCACCCTGCTCTTGGCATGGACAGGCTGTGGGCGCTCCATTTGGGCCACTACGCGAATAAGGGTCTCCTGGACTTATTGGGCTCTTTGATTATGGCGGCCCATACATAAAATTTCATCATTATCAAAATATATTTTTTTGTTTATATATATATATAACCAGTGTCTAAAAGTACGGTGCAATGTGAATGGTTTTGAGAAGGATGTTGGTGGTCGTTGGATGAGTCTATTTGAGACCGTCAAATGAGCTTATAGAAGTCTGTTTTGTTTTATATTATTATATGTATACATTAATTTCATATATAGATATAATGGTAAAATATGTATTTATACCTTTTCCAAAAAAAATCTTCATCTCTCTTACCAAATACAAAAGAGGAAAGAAATGATTTCTCCATTGACTGATAGAAATTATATTACTCTCACTTTTTATCCTTCCATTTTTTTATCCACCCTACAAAACAGATTATTGTAATACCAAAAAATAATTTTCCCCATAATAATGTTCACTATGAAAAAGGTCGCCATCACAAGGCAAAATCTAGCCCAAATCAATGGTACGACTATTTCATGGCCACGCCTGCATTAACAAGTCCAATTGGATCATTGACATATCCTATTTTGACATTTTTTCAATCAAACTATAGGATTATGAATTATTTTCTTACCAAAGATAGACTATTGAAGAAACATGATTTTCCAATTGTTATTTCTTTGTCAAATTTGTCCTATTCTTATGATCGTAACTCTACCCAGCAGTCAATAATCTTTTGAATATGAATAGTGACCATTAAAAATGTTAATACATAAAGAATAACATGAATTCATTATTATTATGTTCTTTCATCAAGAACATGAATTATGTCCTCACATTATTTGCAATGGGCAAGTCATTTAGTAGCAAGAGTTTGTCTTCAATCCCAATGTATCTTCCTGTTTTTGAGTCATTCCATACTTGTGCTCTGCATGTGTTGATGTTTCAAGTATAAGTGTATAACAGTTATAGAGGTATTAATTAAGTATAATTTGTATTTTGACTTATGATTCTCTTTCCTCCAACATTATTAGCTGAAGTTTTTCAAAATCTTCTTTTTTGAGAAGTTTGCAAACTGCAATGTCCAAATGAGTGTAAGTATTTTTTTCCTGTTCTTGAAATCTCTATAAGTATGTTGTTGGATGTCATCCACATTCATGATTTTTGGATTCTTTACTATCTTCTCTTTTCTTTTCTTTTTTCTTTTTTTGTAAATGGTGGATCTTTTACAATCTTTGATCATCTTTGCTTTTTCTTTGCAGAGTATTCTAAGTTTGGGTCTCTTTTTCTCTTTCTTTCCTTCTTCTATATTGCCTTCACCATGGATCTCTACTCAGTTGTTGGAATATCATTTTTGCCCGCTTCTTCTAATTGTTGTGTCACAGATTGTGCAACCATGTCATCCAGCTGATCTTGAAGAGATTTATTCTCATCCAATAGTCATTTGAAATTTTTTCCAAATTCATCCAAGATTATGTCATGAGATTTTTTGTCATTATTTAGTCTTTTGACCAAGGCTTCCAACTGTTTGATTAATTTATTTTTTTTCTACAATTGAGATTTTTAGACTTTCCAATGCATTTTTCAATACTGTTGATTCACTATTTTGCTGTGAACTGTCTTGTTTATGTTGTTCACTGTCTTCTTTCATCTTCAAAATCTCATTCTTCAGTTTTTTATTTTCAACCAGTGGGCCTTTGGTCCAATGGTACTCATTACCTTGTCGAAGTTTTGCCTTCTTGAAGTCAAGGGATCAAGTCCCCCTCCCCCTCTCTTTTTCCCCCTCCAAAATTTTTTTTTTGATTTTCATCCCTGATGAAATCTATTTCTTCTATTGTCTTCAATGCTTCCTCTTTTTCCACTTTCAATATCATTATTTCAACACTAAATTATTCACTGTCGTTTATATTTGTTACAGACTTCTGTTGTTCACTGTCTTCATGTTGTGCATTTTTCTGTTCTTGTTCCCTTTCTACTCTTAACTTCTCAATCTGATCTTTCAAAGTTTTTTTTTCAACTCTCATCAAGATCAGCTCTTCCATTACTTTTCCAGATTCCTCAATCAGCTGTTCATTTTTCTTCTTTGCTTCCTCCTTATCCTTTTTGAATATTAGCATTTTAGACTTTTGATGTTCACTCTATTCTTCTTATTTTATAATGTTAGCCTTCATTGATTCAATCTGTTCCTTTGCTATATCATATTATTTTATGAGATACCTATTTAATTCTAATGGTGTATCTCTTTCCAATGTCAAGTGTGTGACTTCATCCATTTGCTCTTATGTTTTGGATTCCATCTGTTCATTGCTTGCTTGTTCATTGTCTTGTTCATAGTCATAAATTTGTTGAGCATGGTTTCTCCATTCATCCACCTCTTCTGATTCTTCACTGCTTTCTAACAAAACTTGGTTTTTCCCTTTTTTCTTTCTGTTCTTTATCACAAATTGTTCATTATCTTCTACCTCTTCCTCTTCTTCACATTCTAACTTTTCTTTCTCTTCTACTTGGATTTCTTTATCTTCCGTATCTTGGACTTCATGTTCTTTATCTTCAGTATCATCTAGTTGATGCATTTCAATTTCTTCAGATGTTTGTTGTAACGCCCCAAAACCCACCTTGGACGGCATTACAATCTAAAAACCATTCACATCATGAGAGCAACTAAATATATTCATCATTAAATAAGTTTCATCCATCAAATATAACATTTATAATATCATCCCAAAAGAATAGGCCAACCATGGCTATTACATCCCAACAGAATCAACTATTTTCTCGCAGCGGAAATTAACAAAAGATTTGTCTTTACATAATCTCAAAAGAAATTTTCTAGTCTAGCTCCTAGGAGAGTATAACCCTAGAAGTCCACCTTGGGATCCACGAGCCCGTCTAGTGGAGCTTCCCCATGTATCAGCTCATCAACTCCGAGCTTCTCGTCTAGACCACAATCTAAAAAATATATAGTTTGTAGGGGGTGAGCACTAAGCTCTGTAGCAACATTCCTCTCAAACTCGAACAAGGTTTAGAAAACGTATAAAGCAAGTCGGCCTCATTTTGCAAATATCATATATCAATTTTGAAATAAAATCGGGACATTTCAACGGATATAAAGTTTACGCAGTAGCAATAATTTAAATGAACAGTAAAAATGAATTTTTCAACAATAAACCATTTTCAACCATAATCTATTTCTCACAAGTTCTTGTAGAGTCTCATACCTCCACAAACTCTTGTAGGAAACCAATTCCACACAATAACCATAATCGTTTAATAGTGTCATCCCATATTCTCAAGTATGTTGGTTATTTTCTATGAATCTACACCACGACTCTACCTCGTTCACCCAATTATAACCACACAAACCACTTTAGGATGGGCGTATACCGTCTCCCACGGTATTGACGAATCTTTCCCAGGAAAGGTATACCTATCCCTTAGCCTCGAACTTATGTGAACAATAGTGATCTCTCTCACAAATAATAAACCACTACAAGTGTTAGGAAACTATCTCACCCCCATTGGCATAGACTAACCTCTAACACTCTATGGCAGTACTTGAATGCAATTCAAGTCCATCACAACAACCATACAAGAGATGCAATTTCAACCAAATTCTCAAATCAAAAGTAAATCATAAATCCCCAATTTTTACAATATGTAATACAAGAGGACAATTTAAGAAAATAAGCAAGAGAACATCACAACATCATTTCATTACTCAACACAAAGCACTAGGGTTTCGAAATCAAGAACAAAAGAAAAATCAAGAGGAAAATTCATTTATCTTGAAAACTAAGGTTTTATGCCAAAAAAAAAGATTTAATTGTTATCTAACCATTACTTTGCTTAAAACATGGTGGTCTTTGCAAGGATACCAAGAAAGAAAGATTTCATAGCTTATATATAAGATTTAAAGTCAAAAGAATACATATAGATAAGCCCTAGCCTCAATGTAAGAGAATAGGAAGAAACCCCTACCTTAGTGTTCTTGAAAGACTAGGGTTTTGATCTTCTTGAAGTGGAAATCCCCTTTGATCTTGTGTTTTTCTCTTCCTTTCTTCCTCTCTAAGGTTTTCTAGGGTTAGAGATGTTGAAATGGGCTAAATGGGACGTCCTTAGGTATTTATAGTGGAAGGAAAGCCGGTTGTTCGCGACTTAAAATTTCAGAATTTTCGAAGACCTTCCGGAAGGTTTTACATCGACCTTCCGAAAGGTTTGCCTATTAGACAAACCTTTTTATTAATCTTCCGGAAGATTAACATTTTCATTAACCTTCCGAAAGGTTTGTCATCGACCTTCCAGAAAGCTTTTCCCACTAGATAAACATTCACATTAACCTTCCAGAAGAACATTTACATTAACCTTCCAGAAGGTTTGTCTACTGGACAACATTTTCCTTAACCTTCCGGAAGGTTTGTTATCGACCTTCCGGAAGGTTTTGCCTGTTTTTCTACTAATCTTCCCTTCTTCATTTTCAATCCATTCCAAACCCTTCCAATTCTAACCTAAACTTATATAACATACTTTTGTACATCAAACCTAGTTGGTACAAGTTCTATTACAACGATTTCATATATTTGCAAGTTAAAACTAAATTTTAACTACTATTTACTCGAATTTTTTTCACATCAACATTTCAAAAGAAATAATTACTTGCTATATAAACCTATATACATATATAAAGATAAAAGTGTGGGGTTTACATTTGTTCCAATTCTTCTACTATTTTTTGTTCCTCTTGAATTTCTCTTGTCTATTTCTTTCCTGCACTTGAGTAGAATTCATTTTCTTTTTTGTTATTTTCAACTCATTCACTTTCACATGTATGATAGTTGTAGAATAAAAAATGTAAGAAGAAGATTATGATTTGGAATAGAGAACTATCTGTTTGACATAAAATGGGATTGCTTTACATCTTGGAAAGTTAATTGATTAAGTGCATTGTTGTTTATTGCAGAATTCAACTTTCCAAAGTTCCATTTCATAAACCTGGGAAATGCATGTCAGTTGCATGGATTTATTATTGTTGTGTTCACACAAACAATACTACACAAATACCTAATAATGTAATGAAGTTTGGTAACAGTGAACAAATCGTATTGTCATAAAGATGAACTTTATTTTATAATGAAAAATAAGTGAAACTACATTTATTAGAACACTTACTATGAGTGCTAGAACACAGTCAACGACTCTTGTTAGGTTTTGATATTTCAAGTTCATTGAGTTCATCATTCTGCTAGCAATTGCTTTGGACCAGGCATATGTTTTCATTTGGTTCAGATCATCAACATGATGAACATATCCCCAACCAAGAACTTGACCACTTGTTGGAAAAAACAATGTGAAAAATGCATACAGACATAGAATTATTTCAAAATTGTTCAACATCATTTTTTGTTTTTCCTTTGGATACCTCTTCTAACATTTCTTTTATAACTGCATCTTTTAATCTCTTTTGATTCAGGAACCTTCTTTTAAAAAAATCAGAATCGATCTTCTTTGTCTCTGACACATCAATATATATCTCTCTCTCCACCATCTTGTATTCCAAAAATCGATGCAACATCATCACTAGTGACTCTTAGTTGTTTCTTTCCAATTAAGAAACCAAAGCCTTTTTAGTCATAAGTTAGGACAACAGAGACAATGTTGTCATCACTCTTTTTAGGCACAGACTGCTCAATTTTTTCCTATATGATTGCCTCAAATAGCAGCTAGAATAGAGTTTTCTTCAGTTCTTCGATGTAATTGGAAGTAATTTCCAATTTTGAATTACCTTTACGAGTGCTTGCATATTTGATCTGTACTGGGGTAGGTAATTTCTTCTTCTCCTTGTAGCTGTTGCACGTTCTTTTGTGGTGGCATCACTTTTATTTTTTTTTGGCTCTACGTCATCTTAACTCATACAAGTTTAGTTTTGGAACATGTTTCCTGCCCATTCCTTCATTTGTTAAGAATTTGAATAAGACAGTAAACCAGAAATGTCATTCATAAAGTAAGACTTTTTATTTTATTTTTTATTATATCTAGTCAGTGAATGATATGCAAAACTTATTAACATGTGATTTTTTAAGAAAACAGTGAACCTAAAATGTCATTCATGCACCAAGGGATTTTGCTTTTTTGATTATACCCAAATAGTGAACCATATGTAAAAAACTATTCACATGTGATTTTTTAACAAAACAGTGAACCTAAAATGTCATTTGTGCACTAAGGGATTTTGCTATTTTTGATTCTATCCACACATTAAATCATATGCAAAAAAATATTCACATGTGATTTTTAAAATAAACATTGAACCAGAAATGTCATTTATGCAGTAAGGCCTTTTTGATTTTTTGATTATACTCATTGCTTGAAGCATATGCAAAAAAATCTTCACATGTGATTCTTAAACCAGATAGTGAATCAAAAATGTTATTTATGCAGTGAGGTCTTTTTGATTATATCCACACGTTGAAGCATTTGAAAAAAAAAAAAATCTTTACATCTGATTCTTAAGGCTGGCAATGAATCAAAAATATTATTTATGCAGTAAGGCCTTGTTGATTTTTTTATTATAGCCACACATCGAAGCATTTGGAAAAAAATCTTCACGTGTGATTCTTAAACGTGACAGTGAACAAAATTATATCTAATATTAAGTAGGAATAAAATGGAATTTAATGTACATATATATAAGTTATATTACAATGAAAAATGTTAGGGTTTCATTTTGCAATTGGTGTATTAATTTAGTGATTATTCAGGGGAATGTCAGTGAATAAATGGTAGAGGTTATTTTTTGTATTACTATACTTTAAGCAAAGTGAACTATTCTTTTTGTGCTTTATATGTTCATCAAAACAAGGAAAACTAATTTCTCTAAAACCCTATGGAAGAAAACAACTCAAAGAAATTAGAATCCACTTACTTGAATTCTTATATTGTAGAATAATTCACTGGACAAAGAGATTCCTTCAGGAACAATGGAACAATAGTTGATGGAAGTTGTAGATGATTCTTGTCAAAAATCGAAAAGTTTTGCTTCTGCGATTGTCAAAGAACAGTCGTTTTGGCGTTCTCTGTAAAATCAATTTTCTGTTGATTTGATGCTAAATTTATATTGAAAGATTTTGCAATAGGAAAATTTTTGAGTGAATCGTTTGGGCGCGATGCAATTTTGTGGGACTGGATGTTGTTTTCTAAAAAAGTGACTTTTCGTATAGTAGCCACTTATATTAGTAAGAGTATTTTTGTCAACTATGTATTTTTTGGACCTTTCGCTTTAAAAGTGTCCAGGATGGACCTCTCGCCTTAAAATTATTTTTCGCACTTTACATCTCAAAAGATATCTCAAATCTTACTTTACATCCCAAAAAATTATTTTTCCTACATTGCACCCTGAATGTCATAAATTGTTTCCAATGTGATCTTCAGACTAACATCTATTTCAGATTTCGTTAAAAATTGATGTACTTGTCATCTACGTATATTGCTCTTGGGCAAAATTTAAACTCACAATTTATATTCTTATGTGACATTTGCATCAATTTTTAATGGAATCTAAAACGAATGTTAGTCCAAA